TCACACTCCTGGCTGTTCCACAAGAAAGGTTGCTCTTCAGGGTTAATGTATCCTAGTGGAGAAAATGGATACTGTGGAAAATGAGATGTGGAGCAATTCTGCCTTTCTGAAATCTCCATATGCTGTTCTGCATCAGGAAGGGAGACAGGACTGTGCAGAATAACTGTGTTACTGCGGTGCTGGTCTCCTCTTCACGTCCTTCGTTAATAGGTATCACCCACTGTTTCTCTGTAGAATCATAGAATCATTAAGGTTGGAAAAGACCTCTAAGATCATCAAGTCCAACCATCAACCCAACACCACCACGCCTGCTAAACCATGTCCGAAAGTGCCACATCCACACAGTTTTTCAACCCCTCCAGGGATGGGGACTCCACCACTGCCCTGGGCAGCCTGGGCCAATGCCTGACCGCTCTTTCAGTAAAGAAATTTTTCAGAATATCCAATCTAAACCTCCTCTGCATGAATGAGAGAGAAGAGGTGGGGAAAGTGAAATGTAAATGGCATGTTCTGTAGCATGTCAGGTTGTAAAATACAATAAGTAGGCACGAGTCTGTTCCACTGCCCCGTCCCATGACAAGCTGCTCTCCTACAAACTGGGAGAGCTGTGAGAGCCCGAGGTAAGTCACAGCAAGGGCTGGGAGCCCAACACGTAACTAAAGACAGTCCTGAGGTGGTCCCCAGGGGCAAAGAATTGGCTGTTGCAGCGCAGAGCCTTGCAGGGGGTGAGGCAGTCAGCAGAGCCATTTATATTGTCAGTGACTCTGGGTTACTTTGCTGAGCCCAGGCACTGGGTCTCTCCCTGAGCATGTGGGCCTCTATCATCTTCCCAAAGGACTCTGGCTGTGCAGCCCCTCATCTGGTTCAGGGTCGGAGTACCCCAGGGCTTGTCTCTGCCAGACAGTAAGGTGTCTCCAGCTTTGCTGCTTGGCCACGTCTTCGCGGTATCCAAGTCAGGATGAGCGTTCCCACAGTGAATGCGATGCATCCTGTGTGCTTGCTGCAGGTGCAACCCCCTCGTTAACCTGAACTACGCTGTCCTGCTGTATAACCAGGGCGACAAGAAGGGAGCCCTCTGCCAGTACCAGGAGATGGAGAAGAAGGTCAATGCAATGAAAGAGAGCAGTACTCTTGACTTTGACCCTGAGGTACGTGCCTAACAGTTGTCAGCGGGAACTAAGTAGCCACGCTAAGGCTGGCAACAAACGAGGAAGAAATTTGACTTTGGAGTCTAATTATTAGGAAGAAATTCTGCTTATGAGATATTTTCGAGTAGAGCAGTTGCCTGCTGAGAGCTGCTTGCTTCGTTTCTGCTCTTTGAAGCCCAGTTCTTCAATCAATACACAGCAAGCCAAGATTCCCTCTTAATTAAGGGAATGAATTAGCAGCGATGTTTCCCTCGAGCACCAAGGCAGTAGCCAGCTCTGTACAGCTCTCAGGTTTTTTTGTGGTTTTGTTGTTGTTGCTGACTTTATTGTTGTCTGGTGTGTTCCTTATTACAATGATCTTCTCTTTTTATTTCTTGAGAAGATGGTGGAGGTTGCCCAGAAGATGGGAGCTGCCCTGCAGGTGGGGGAGAGCCTGGTCTGGACTAAGCCTGCTAAAGAGTCTAAATCCAAGCAGCGAGCTGCTCCGTCAGGGAAATCCTCCAGCACTCAGCAGCCTTTGGGCTCGAACCAGGCCCTGGGTCAAGCCATGTCTTCAGCTGCGGGGTATGGGAAAACCATGCAGCTTCCGTCAGGTACTTCGTCCTTCCTTCTCTTTAAAATAGGTCTGTGGGAGGGGGAAAGGGGAGAAGAGAAATCCCTCTTTGAGTACAGAGTTGCAGCACATGTGTAGGAAGGTGCTTACGCAGTAGTGATGTCAGTATTTGGTAATAGCTTTCCCAGATTTTTGAGTTAAGGAAGCGTGGAAGGAAGATGCTGTCTGTGGTGCATTATACTATCCTGCTTCTTCCAGGGTGTGGAAGGTCAGTAAGGTTTCCTTTCCTATCTGAGCCACGAAGGGCAAGACTCCATTAGCATTGGATTGAGATCTTGCTCCAAGAAGGAGGTGGTTTCGGATACCAGACCTCTTGTCTTCCTTTGGAAGAGCCCAGGAGCTGAGATGCACAAAAAGAGGGAGGGCAGGCTGCTGAAGAAGGGAAATGATGAACAATTTGCTGAAGCACTTTATAATTTCTGTTACAAAAATAACTGCAACCGGACTGCTTTGAAACCAGGTCCCTCCCTTGCACATGTTGCTGAATGACCTTTTAGTGCAGCCATCTGGGCTGAAGGTTGCTCAGGAGATGGCGTCAGCCTTAGAAGGCTTAGGCCAGTATCTCTACGTGCTGCTTCTTGCTGGGGCTGGGTGGGAGCAGCTCCTGAGTCACCGTTCGTAGGCTGACCCCCTCTCACCCCTGAGCTTCCGAGGAGGAATGTGCTCGAGGTCCTGCTCATCGCGGTGATTTTCCGTCACTTCTAGTCTTGTTCCCTGTGGACTGAACCAGGAGAGCGGTTGTGTAATCCAGGCCTTGTTCTTTGGCACCCCTGAGGACCTGTTCCATTTCTCACACATGGAATAAACTTTCCGTGCGTGGAAGAGTTAGCCAGCAAAGCTGAAAAATAAAACATACAGGAGTTTGAGGTTTACCTGAAGGACTTTATCATCCACATTAGAGAAGGGAGCTGGTTCCTAGCATCAGTTGTCAGCCTAAATCTTAGCGTAGAGACAATTTCGGCATGGAAGTGTCCTGTTTTGATTTTGTTCTGCAAGTAGCTATTTTAACTCCCTGAGACTCTCCCTGAGTTTGCTAAAACTGTCAATTGAAAACAGCACTGTGGCTTTGGCTTCAGCTGGCATATAAACGAGCTTCAGTGGAACTGTTTTTCCTTCCAAAGCACGAGTTAATTCCCAAGTTTGTAGTGACTTCTCACAGCAGCCCAGCTAAATGAGATCCTGTGCCTTAGCTTCCCTTCAGCAGAACTTTGGGTGCTCTAAGGTCTCAGGCTGGATAGCTCACAAAAGTTGAGTGCTGTTGATAGGCTAATGCTAGAGAGAAGAAATCGGACAGTTATTAATAGCTGCGATTTTTCTGCATCTCCATGCTGCCTGGAAGGGCAAAAAGTATAGACAAAACACACAAAGCCATACAGTAACTATAACTGTGGTCTTTCCCCAGGTGCTGGAGCTTCAGCTCCACTTGCAAAGCCTCCCTCACTGCCTCTGGAACCAGAATCGGGCTCAGAAACGAGCCCTGAGGAGACCTCGGCGCTAGCAGGGGCTGAGGAACAGCGGAAAGAAAAGCGCAAGAGCCAGCAGGCGGCGGACTAGGACGGACTCTGGTCGGGACAGGCAGGTGCAAGAGCATCTCCAGTGCTGCCTGTTGCCTTGTGGGGAAAGGGACCTGCCCTCTCCCCTGACCCAGGGTGGCTTCAACCCACTGTCGGTTAGTCTAAATGCAGCTGTTTCTGTTAATGATCTTAGCATGTGGTCTCTGCCTTGTCCCAGGGAGTTGTTGCAGCAGTCAGAAGAGGTTTCTGTGTAGCTACCGTTAGCGTGGTCACAGCTGACTACAAGAGACTGGAGGATGGAGATCCATCTCTCCACAGTGTCGGTCGTCTTCAGTGGTTGGCTGTAAGTCCCCCAGAAGGATGCTGAGGCATCCGGTATGTTCAGAAAAGCCAGCAGTAGCGGCTTAGCATCCCACACCCCAGAGAGGGTGAAACCCTTCCAGTGGCTGAACGTGTAAGCGGCTGAGGAAGCCTGTCACCGGCTGCAGTAAGATCAGTGGTTACAGGCTTGGAGACGGGAGAAGGCAGCACACCTCACCAGTGCAAGGGCAGAGCAGTAGGCCAGGCTCGGGACTAGCACAGCGTGGAGCCTTGGGCTTGTCACTCCCCATTTCGCAAGGGCAAGACTTTGTAAAGGCTTTCTCAAAGCGGAAGAAAGGAAGGCGGCACAGTTGGGTGCCATCACTCCTGAGCAGGGCACTGTGATGGGCATGGGGCACTGTGAAGCCCACGCTCTCCTGGGCGGTAGCAGTTGTGAAGCACGGGGGAGCGGCCTGATGGAGGTGAGCTGCTCTGTCCCAGGGTGATTGCTCCGTTAACACGCAGCCCGGCGGGTAGCCAGAGCAGACCTGCCGCACGGGGCTGACAGCGTGGGCGCTGGCCAGCCGACTGCGCCAGCCTTTGTAGGACTGTTTGCCTTCTGATCCCAGGATCGCTCTTTGAATTTCTTGAATCCAGCCTGGTTTTAAGTGTAAGCTGCTGTGTGGTGGCTAAGAAAGTTGCCAAGCTGGCCCGTGGTAGGGCGCATGCTCAGAGGCTGGCTACGCTGGAAGCGGGCTAGCTGCAGCAGCAAAAAAAGTCTGCCACATTCCTAGTTGTTTGCTGAGAAACAGGGTAAATGAGCCTCAGTGACGCTCTGTGCTCATGTGATTAGAGCTCTTCCTTGAGAATTTGTGTTGCCCAGCATGGGGGGAAAGATTGGTTTGCAGGAAAAAAAAGAGCAAGCCTTTTCAGAAGAGATGATACGGTCAGCTTCAATGCTAAATTTAAATTGTTGTAGGATGACAGTAGCCGTGCTCTGAATAATTCAATTGTGCCCTCCTTACAGTTGCGGTTTAGGAGTAATCATTTATGGTGGCTGCAGGGCGGCAAAGCAGCCCGCTGACGAGCAGAGCAAGGAGTTTCAATGCCCACGTGATACTAGAGAAGCTTTGAAAATGTTTCTATCCTCGAACAGCAAAATACTGGCCTTCCTTCCCTCTGCTGCTGTCAGTTTGTTGCCTCTGGGATTTATCCAGAGCTTGATCCAGATCCTCAAAACAACTGCTTTTGGGAGCTAAAGGCGGGACCATCGTACTTTACATAAAGAACTAGTAACCGGGTTGAGTGTACTTTTTCTCACCCTCCCCTCTGCATACTGAGTGCACAAAGCCAACATTGCTGGGGGACTTCCGACCCGAGTTTTCCAAGCGGAATGTGTAGCGCTTCCCAACAAAACTGAAGCTTTGGGGGCTCAGTGTATTTGCTGGCGAACCCACCCAGCTTTTTTAAAATGTATTTCCTGTTTTCAGTTCTGCACCCTTGCATTGTATCGCTCCGCAGTTAACAGGCCCAGCAGAGGAGGGTTAGTAATGGAAAGTTCTCTGTAGTAACAACGTAAAAGCAGCGTCACCGAGGCTCTGGATACATTAACATCCTTCAGCGGTGCCTTGCGGTTAGCTGCTATTATCCAGCATGACATTAATGCCTCTTTAGCGTGCGTGTGACCAGGAGCTAAAGGGCTGTCCTGCTCCCTGGAGAACACTAAAAGAGTAGGAACCCTTTGCTTTCTCCTCTATTTGGATTACCCAAATTGCCTGCTTATCTCAAATGTGGCTTTTTTTCCAGCTGTCCTCTGCCAGTGGGTTTTGTATCGCTACAGCTGCAGAGTAGCACTCCTCTAAGGTTTCCCTCATGCTGAGAGTTGAAGAAAAAGGAGGGTTTTTTCTGGAGCACTGGCAAATGTAAACAAACCAGACAAGAAGCAGGGTAAATCAGGTACAGTGCTGCGATTTTATTCACATTAAACTTCTTACACTGAAAGTTACTGTAGCATAACAGAGTGCCTGTGAAGAAGAGGCTGAGATTGCAGAGCAAGGGCAGGCAGGGTGTGGGAACTCCTTACCTCACCCCCCCAACTTCAGTTCCAATAGCAGTTAATGGCGTAATCTTCTCGCCTGACCACGAAGGCGTTCAGGCCATGGAAACTCCAGCACAAGGCACAGTGACCAGAACAGCGTGGTGACAGGTAGGTGAGCACCAGCACTGCTGGTACAGCCGCCTCTGTTCTCAGTTGACAGCCCACCAGAGACAAGGAACAATCAAAGACCTCTCTCCTCTCCCAGTCCCCCTGGTGTAACTTACTGCCTTCCTGGCTGTTAGGGTGCTTCTACAGGGTAAATGGGACAGGGTGGATGCCTGTGAAGGTATTTAGATTAAATATATATTTTGATGAACAGCTTATGCAGGCAATGAACTGGTTCTCCCTCTGTGAAAAGAAGTAGCAGCACCTTGTTACTTTCTGGATTTGAACAGAGCAGAAGGGAGCTTCATGTCTAAGGAACCGTTTTTAAATATGTAATTACAGTTGGATAATAAATAGAACTGCAATTCCTTGTCTTGTCCCCTCTCTTCCCCCTGGGTACTGTGATGATAGTGTTTGTGTACAGTAAATTCACAGAATCTTTATGGAGAGCTTTTTTTGTGCTGTCTAATGATGAGAATGAGGCCGGACTGTGCTTTCAACTGAAATTAAGCAAGGGATTTTTCAGCATTTAAGAATTTTGGCAGTCATGCCTTATGTTCCAAAACCTGTTCCTGGCATCAGCCATAATTCTGATCTTCTCTTTTTTCCCCCATAATTGAAATTTTAAGATGGAAAAGAATAATGAGCTAATTTCTAGGGAAGCAGAAACCATCTGCTTTAGGACTTTTTTCCTCCCCCATTTTAGAAGCATGTATATCATTAACCAGGTTAAATCATGCTGCTTACAAGGCAGACTGCAGCTTGACTTCCTCACAGGAAAGAAACTCAAACAGAACACCTGGGCAGCAAGACCTTATTTCAGCCAAGAGTAACCATCTCTCTATCCAGCAACGTGTATTGAACCCACACAACTCTGGTTTTGAGGTCCCTGAGATAACTGGATGCTGGTTTACGATATGGCAGTGTTGGTGCTTACCTGCCGTGCTCCTGTACGCGATCTTGCCCAGCTGTGGTCACTGACAGGGACTGCTGAGCAAGGTGGACCTTGGGTCCTACTCAACATCCTGTTCTTGCGCAAGATGTTAAAAATTTAGACTTCCCCACTGGGAAGTGGCAAAGCCTCTTCTACAGGGACAGACAAGGCTCGATGCTGAATAAAAAAACCCCAAACTTTACTAAACAAGCAGCTCCACACATAAATGCGCTACAAAAAAAGCACATATTATCAAGCAGTTCATCTGCCAAGGCTGTTTTATTTAATAGAAGACCCAGTTCTGCTACAAGGAATGCTTTACCACTCTCTCAAACCAAGCTGCACAAAACATCGGTGTTTTTTAATGCAGGATACAGGTGAGATTTGAACCCAGTTTTACTCAGGCTGCACTAAGGAGCAGCTTTCCTGAGAAATTCACAGGGGAGGATTTCAGGGTATGCTTTTGTTTCCCCCACTTGCATTTTAATGAGAACATTCCCCCTTAGCTGCCAGCATCTGTATTCTTCCGCTGCTCTGCGATCTTCTCACAAAGGCTGGTAACAGGCTTAGTTTTCAAAGCAACAGCGAGCTGTTTGGAACAGACACCTTCCCGAGCTTCTGGCACAGAAGGTAATGGCCATGCATGCTATTTCCAACCTGCATTTGCTTCCTTTGCTGAGAGAACATCCTCCCACAAGAGCCTGGATCAGTAACTCCCTGAGAATTCAGCCTGCTCGGCTGAGATACTATGCAAGAAACTGCTCCATCTGTTAGGGAAGAGAACTTAGCAACTGACACCCCTGAACAGACAGGAGAACGAGCGTTTCTGGCTCTATGATCAAGTTTTACTGAAGAGTTTAATCAGACTCAGCACTGCTGAAGCAGAAAGCAGACAAGAGTGATGAGAGCAGGCCAAGGGCTACGCTACGCAAAAGGACTTGTTGCAAATAGGTTTTCTCTGCCCCTTACCACTCAAACTTCAAAAACAAAGAGCAAAGACAACCTTTAATATTCTCATTTCTCTCTCTCTAGTCACCTCATTAGTGCTTGAGTGAAGACTGTGAGACAGTCTTTGTTGTGGTGTCTGTTTTAGCTGGTTGTAACCAGTGAGTCTGTAGATGTGTCGGTTTTTTTAAAACTTAACGGGATGCTTTGACCAAAACATTAATTGCACTAGAGAAAAGCGTAATTAATATGGCTTGAAACAAACATTCATATTCAAATATTGATTTAACACAGGACATAAGAACAATCTAACTAAAGCCACAAAAACGTAAATTCAGTGTTTTCCTCCATTTTTCTACTGTTCTTCCAAATGTACTCCAAAGCTGGATGAGTTTCCTAACACCAGGAATAGCAGTGCAGCACACCCTGTGACAGAAGCACGTGCCAGCACTGCTTCAGAATAGGTTGCTCCGAGCACGTGCGTCAGCAGCCAGGGCCAAGTCGCCGCGCAGCAACAGCAGAGCTGCTCGCTCACCGATGCCAGCATCAGCTCTCACCTGAGCCACAAGCTCCAGAAAAGAGCCCAACAGCACAGAGGTTTAAACAACTTTTAGGGTAACCAGAAAGAGTTATGTTGCCTTGTACCATTCTCACAAAAACTGTCCCAGTAGTCATTTTAACTTTTTTTCCTCAGGACATGGCTGGAAAGGTCACCCTGTGGCACATAATTCCTGATAATTCAGTACATGATTACAGAATTAAAACAAAAGCCAACCACAAGTAGCATCAGTGGAACTTCACAGTTTAAAAAAAAATAAATCTACTTTTCATTTCTGTTACTGTGGTTGGGAGGTGTACCACAGAGGTGACTACAAAAAGCAACCCCTACCTTAGGCTAACTAGTCTTAAAATAAACTTGGGCAGAAGACAATTGATGGCAAATACGTACACACTGCTGACAGTTTTCCATGAGGTTTTGGGGATGGATCGATCGCTCTGCTGCTATCCAGGCTCTGCATTCCAGCAGCTGGGAAGTGGAGTCGGGCTCTAAAGCAACACCCAACACAGGTCATAGCAGCGGATGAGGTCTTTGCTAGAGGCAATGCACAAAGGCTAAGGAAGAAAATTTTGGCACCATTTCTGTAAAAAGGAACTAATGAGAGAAGAGCAAACTTAACCAGATCTCACATACCACAACAGGAGATAACCAAGAAACACAGGAGCAAAGAAAACCACGTATTCCTTAGCAATGCTGCAAAACTCCCCGGGAGAGGAAAAGAAGAAGTGAAGAGCCTTTAAACTGGAAAGAGCTGGATTTGGGATTGGCTCTTCCATGGCCAGGTGGCACTCACACGTCACCACGGGCACAGCATGGAAGGAACGCACACTGTCAAAGTCTGCTGGCCTCCTGCGATTCACGCAGCTCAAATAACCCGCCACTTGACCTTCTGTATGCAACACATAGAAAAGATAGGAAGCATTGCTCATTTGTGATCAAGGGTAAGACAAAAAACCCAAAGCGATGTCGCTGCACTGCCTACAGGCACGCAAAGGTGGAAATACCAACGTGCATAATTTTTTGTCACCTAAAGCCGCTAGCTCACTGGCACAGTGATGAGCTCATCTGTTGCAACTTCAGCAAAGCATGTGTGAGTAAACATTTGCAGTGGAGACCCTCCTGTTCGGGAGCTTGAGGGTAGCTGAGCTTCCAGTCATCTGCCGCTGGGGATTGCAAGGTATGGGTAGTACATGAGAACGAACGGCATTTGGAGAGGCAGAGAGGATCAGGGGAAAGCAGAGATCATTTCAAGCCTGGTTTTGGAGCTTTGGTACTTTTGCAACGTTTTTGTTTCTTTGTGGTGAACAGAGATCTGGATTTTTAGAATCATCAGATAAATTTGTTTAAAAGTCACCTACTAAAGACATTTGCAGGTGACAAAAAACCCAGCCCAACCAACAAGACGCACAATCACTAGAAATTTCACTAGTTTTTTTCCCCTTTACAGACCAAAAACCCCCCACTAGCTATTTCCATTTCTGTTGTTCAGCAAGATCTCTTAAAGACACAGCAGCTTTTCTTTGCTGCCGCTGTTGCAGCTGTGCAGAGGTGTGAGACAGCCTATGCGTGCAGGCAGAGGACTTCAGAGACTCCACAGCCCTTAGTGTAGTTACGTTTGGAAGGCAGAGGGATGTTAAGCGCGTCATGTTCACAGCATGCGAAACACGAAGTGAAGACAGGCTGTTGGGGCCCACCATTCAAGTCAGCTTTATTATCATATAGATAGTTTCAAAACTTCATCAGGGATACCAATGGCCTGTCTGATTAACAGGTCACACTCGTTAAGAATTATCCTTGGGATGCGAACGTAGTGAGCCGGCGAGCGCTGTGTGCCCGGTGAAAGCAGACAGACAGACATAGCAGCAGTCTAGCCCTCAATGAGCTGCTGTCATGTGAGAAGTGACTCACGGTGCCAGGCGTGCACAGCGCACTGACAACGGGCCAAAGAAGAAATACTACCTGGTGAGAAAGCACAGGGGCAGCAGGAAGGAGTTAATAATAATAATTACAGTTTAGCTTTTAGGCTCAGATAAATTCTAAGGAATAAACCCTTTTTCATACTTGTTTACAGCAGTTAGTTATTCAAAAGCAGTTTAAAAAAAAAAGATAATTTAGGCCTGTAACACTCCTGTTAAATCCAAGCATAACTTGGGCAAGTTCTGTTAGTGCAGTTACATGATTTTAAATGGCCACGAGGTGCTGCCAGTCCAGTCAGCGCATCCCTGCAAATGTTTTTGGAAGAAAGAAGGGAAATACAGCAGCAGGACCGTTGCTGCTGACAGCTTGTGTGTATTTAGTTTTGTTTGGTTTCCAACTCGAGAATCCACACAGCTTGGCCCGGTGTCAGGCAAGTGGGACCTAGCGTAAGCGAAGGATTAGTTCTCCAGCTGGCAGGATGCGTGGCCTTTGGTGGTCCTAGGGGTGGTGTGCCAGCAGGCTACGATCATGGGTTGCAAAGTAACCCTGCCAGTGGCCTCAGACCTTTCAGACAGCTGAAAGGAGACTTTTTAAATTTATTTTTTCTGTAGGAAGACTAAAACAGAACTCCAAGTCCCATGTTACAATTTACCGATAATAACAATAAAAAATAATCTGGATAGAAATCTTTTCATTCTTAAGAAGATCCCGCACTGAGATAAAATGCTGAGACTCAATGGAAGATCAGGATGGGATAAGCTGCAGGAAAACAGCACTGCTGTATTTCTCCTCTAGTACAACACAGAAGACTTTGCTCAGAGGGAAAGCAGAAGTTAAATATACATTGACAGACAGCATTGTGTGCTAAGGAAGTACAAGTTACAACAGCTGTCAATTTTTATCCTTACAGAGCATTCACGGTGGCATTCTCCAACAGGGGAACACCACTGACAGTAATATGACAGCGTTACTGAAACAGATCACTCCTGACTAAGCGGTACGGGCTCTCCTCACCTCCATTCTGATGTGAAGACTGACCTAAAGTGACCTCCCACAAATTCTGCTGCAGCGCAGGCTCGCACAGACATGCTGGTTGCATTTAATCCAGTTAGACTGAAAAAACATGTCTGATAACTATGCAAATACATTTGAAGTTCCTTGAAGTGGACAGAGACAAAACCATGCTGGAAAGAGACAAAAAAGATGCCGGCACGATGCAATCCATAGCGTGTGACTGTGAAGAGGAAAAAATATGAACGAAGTATTGAACAAGGACACATGGTGCTACTTTTTTTAATTTCAAAGGCTGTCCAGAACAAAGAAACTATCAGTGACCTAGTCGAACAAAAACAACCCCAAAATGAAACCCTAAAAAAGCCCTCCTCACTTCAGCCATACCTGGAAAACGCTGTGGCAGCTTTTGGCCCTTCTGGATGGAAGGCAAAGAAACTGAGGAAGATCACACAACCCTTCTCAAACAAAAAAAATTAGTCTCCAGCACTCAATCGCTTTTCTGTAAAATACTGGACAGAAGCACCCACTGTTAGCGAAGCCACCAGCTGCAAGCCCTCCCCAGCTGGAATTCTTGGTATTTAGCGTACAGCAAACACAGGCAATGTTTTGTGGGCTACCTGACAAAAAAAAACAAAGCTGTCTCCCCAAATACACACCCTGATTATCTTCACTTCTAGTTGCCCAAAAACGAAGCATGGACTACTAGGGCTCAGCTGACTACCTTTAGTCACAGAGACAACGGATACACAAAAGAATGTACACGGCCTCGAGTCCGGTGTTCTCTGTGCATTGAAGGAGCAGATACAGCGTGCATCACATTTCAGGACTCTGGTTCCCTCCAGTGCTGGGGGCACCGGGATTGAGAGGTAATTTCATCAGTAAAAGATGTCATCATCACGCCGAGCAAGCGGAAGGTTTGCTCTTGCCACGTAGCAAGTGTGTTGGGAAGAGATAATGCAAGAGCCTTTTATCTTTGATTTATCAGAGGCAGGACAGGGTTGAGCACTGCTGTGCTCTCCCTGGGTCCACACACAGGAAGTTCTCCTGGATGCTGTACTTTCCAGCACCAACAAACAAGACCCATTCAGAGTAAGAAACAGCAAACCTAGGCCAAACAGGGATTTTGATACTCGTTTCCCTCCCCGCATGCTTAAGACAAAGCAAAGCCAATTTTCACATTAAATACTAAACCATCTGTACCTAAACGTGAAGCGTTCAAGTCACTGCCAAGTGACTGGAATGTATCTGACAGTTTATACCTGGAATTATTCTTTGGCTCTTTTTCAGTTATATCCAGAAAACACACCACACTCCAATTCTCTTCCTATACCATCACTGGCTGAAATCCTAATGAGAACACGATGGTTCCTCAGACACTGTACAGTACTGGAGAGAAAGGAGGGTCTGAGTCTTCTACTGAGCATATACTTCTGAGTATAGCAGTCCTTCGGCTGAGATAGCATCCCCAAGTCCCACGGTCCGGACAGGATCTTTACACACCAAAACAGGAGTGAAATGGAACGAGATGCCTTCTCTGTGCCAATGCACCACTGGCTCATCTGGATTTAAAGAGATTTTGGAAGGTGCCTCTATCTGGGAGGTCACAAACTCCAAAGGAGCTTTAAGGAAGACCTTGCTGGTATCAATGGTTTCAGTCGCACAGGCCTGAGTCCCTGCTGCTCTAGCTCCGGCAGCCACAGCAGCAACCTGATTGCCCCAGTAGCCATCCACTGTGACCACGATATGATAGGCCAGGGTGTGGAAGTGGATCCGTGTGAGGTCAGAGGCCTGCTCCGCTGTCTTCCCGTGCTCCTTCAGGATCCAGAAGAGGATGTCACTGACTACACCCACGTCGGGAACTCCGCTCCAGGAGGCAAGGGAGGCGTGGGGACCAGAGGCAGACTGCGTGAGGAACAGCAGCTCCTGCTCGTTCAGCCCAATGGAGTTCACCAGGGGAAAGACCTGCTAACAGAAACACAGGAACAACAGACTTTCCTCCAGAGAGTGAATCAGGTTTCGGTCTTCCTCACTGTTTGTACAATACTGCCTTACGGGCTCTGTCACCAGGGTGCTCAGCAGAAGGGAACACCCAGTTTCCTGGAGAGATGCAGGCCACAGTCGCTGCACAAGCTTCCCCAATTCAACACGTTTGCAAGCATTACTTAGCCAAGAAAACATTTCATGCCAAGGGTGCGTGTTCATTTTGTGCAATTAATTTTCTAGATGCACACTTTGACAGTAGAGTAACCAAACATCAAATCCACATGAAACACTTGTAACACTGGGATGAGCGCTGTGTCAAGCTAAACAAGGAGCCATAGGATCTGTAGGAAAGAAATTCTGCAAAGAAATCTGAGGGTTTTTAAAATTATAAACTCAGCTCACATTCAAATCCTGTTTTTTCTGGAAACCTGCAAGCCTGCTAGATCTAAACCAGCCAAAGTTACTTGTATCTGTGGAGTTGTGAGTATTCTCCCAGGTCACCTTCCCCCTGTGACTGCAAAAAGTCTTCATAGCAGAGAACAGCGCCCAGCTGTGTTGCACGGTATTTCTACTGAATACAGTTGCTGAATAAACTCAGATCTGCAAAAAATCATTACTCCTTGCTGAGAACGGTCTGATGAGCAACCAAGAGCATGGTGAGATATCTCCTGAATGAAACTTCCCAGAGACACCTATCTAAATGGAACACTCTCCCTGAGCTAAAGAAAACAAATCTGTCCTCTGCTAAGCCACGAGTCATTACAGTTGTCCTTCACTGCACAGAGACTGGTAAGCTCAGCAGAGGAAACAGAAGCATTCAGAATGCAATAGCAGACATTAAACCCATGGTCTCAATTTATCTCCAAATGGATAGCCCTAATTTTAAGTTTTCATTTCTATATTCATCTACCAGTCTGCGCATTGTGATACATAAGAAAAGGAAACTGATACAAAAAAGCATGTCCTTGCATTTTTGTTACCTGATGCATAATGTTGCTCATAAAATCCTGATCAGTCATACTGGCCAACTCCAGGTGTATGGGAATGTCAGTGGGGATATCGGAAATGGAGGCCACAGCCTACAGGGGTACAGGAAAAGAGAAAAAAAACCCACCCTAAAACACATATTCATTAAGAAACAGAAAGAACAAAGAGGCTTTAACTCAGCAATACACATCCTTTAATCTTCTTGTGTATGGATTTAAACACAATTCCAAATGAGATGTCTGATGAGTGCCAGAATGTACTGCTATGGGAAAGAAATAAAAACTACTTCCAGTTTTCAGAATTCCAGAGCAGGAAAGCTGTATCTAACCCTAATCTGCACCCAACTCAGCACTTTTCTAATGGACTAATTCAGAAACCTCACAAATCTGACGCAGCTGTAGAACAGCTGATTCTAGAACAGAGAAAAAGGAAAAGAGAAGAAAAAAAAAAAGGCTACTGCAGTGCATCAGGAAGGGCACTCAGCTGCAAGACAGGCAATGATCTGTAAATAAACGGAAAACTTGGTGTAGCTCTTCTGGACTCAGATGAGAAGGCTGCCTCTTGGATTATCTAACACAGATGCTGCTTAAAGAATGGAAGTCTTGATTATAACCGCAATCGTCTTAGCATCTGGGATAGAAAAAGCGTAATCTAGCCACTGGATAAGCTCCCGTAACTATGTCAACATACTCCAGCCAGACAACCAGACCATACCTTTTCTTTCCTAGACAACCCACTGGATCCAAGAAACATTCGTGTCACAGGATTAGACTTTTGCCATTCCTACAGTTCACATCCTTCTTTTATCATGCAATGCTGAAAAGATTTGTGGGAGATCTGAAGACGCAGCCTAATTACAAGTTCAAACCTGGGAAACCAAGACTTTGCCAGGAAGTATTTGTTGGAATGGAAATTAAGAAGACACTGGTATTCAGGTATCTTACCTCCATAAGTCGTCTCTGTCGCATCTCCTTGCTCTGGCCTTCCATCATGTGAAGTCCTGAAAGTACCACAAGATCTGGCTGAAATTCATCCAAGCTGGACACAAACACTTCCAGCATATTTAAGGCGCCATTTGACAGGTCGTGGGAGAAGATAAAGCGGTTGGCATTGGGTGCTTTCACTTGTCCCCACTCTTCACCTAGCGTGCAATAAATAGAAGCAAGTTAATTCCGAAGAGAAACAAGTCAAACCACGTGTCTGGAGATTGTTTTGGGATATTCTGCTGGAGCCCCGCGGTATGGTTTCGCAATGCGACTGTGCCCAATTAACAGCCACTGCCAGCCACAAGAGAAGTCTGGCTCTTTTTCTCATTCATTCTCTTCAGTCAACCCCTCTACCTCAGTTAGGTGCTTGTCTGGTCAGAAGGAAAATTCAATACTTGTTTGGTTTTGCAAGCTTTGTGATGTTTTAATCAGTTAGATTAGTTGATCACGCAATTAGGCGAGTGTCGCAGCTAGCTCAAGCTAAACAGCTGGAGTGTGCAGAACAGGCAAAGAGAGGGGAGGCCCTCCCCCTCTGGCAACAACCACTTGTTAGCCTGACACAAGCTGTATCGTGAAGATACTCCCTCAACAACTCTCGTGGGTCTTACTGTTCCTTACTGCGCAGCTCCCACAAAGGATCTGCAGAACAGAGCTGGATCAGTGCTGTATACATGAACTGTTTTATTCCTGGGTAAGATCACAAATGAAATGGCCTCCATCTCAAGATACCGACAGTGAGCCTAGAGAGGACACAAATTACAGAAGCCACAGTCTAACCGGCCAGCCCTCTGCCAGTTCTGCCCATCTGTCGGCGCATCTCTGCTCAGGCAGCAGGCAGTTCCTTGTGCCAGTTATGATAACTGGACAGAAAGAAATGCAAGGGAATAAATAAACACAGGTCACAAACGGCAGCTTGAACAGAAAGCTCCTGAGACACAAGCATTTTTGGGGCTATTATAGGCAGAATCTCCACGTTAGAACCAGCCTGCATACTTCTTTACTTGGCCCTCCCAGACCGTATACTGGTTATAGTTTGGAGAATACGACCAGCATTTGTGTAAAAGGCACTAGAACCGCATCAACAGCCATCAGTGCTGCCTCCTTTTAAGTCTTATGGCAAAGTTCTGTCTAGGACAAAGATCCCCAGCTTTGCGTCAGGAGGGCAGCTCTCACCTGAGAACAGAGATGCTGAGAAAAGGAGCCATCATATACTAATGTATCATCTAACCAGGATGCTTCCCGGAGCAAGAAGAATGAAGATTTACTTAGAGATTAGTGTAATTATATAAGTGCTACTGGTAACAGCACGTGTCAGTTACAGTAAGCTTGTTTCAGTGAGAAGTCCATCAGAGCGCATGCTTTGGGTGCTGCTCCCCATTAGTTTTGCTGGTGAAAAAGTTTAATTAGGTGTTTTTTTCCTTCCTCCTTGCCAAATACTCCCTCTTCTGTCACACCAATGTAACTCCTTCTGAGGCTCTATTTTGAGACAGGACCAGTGGAATGGGTCAGGCTGAGAACAGCGAGAAAATACATGGAGATTTGTTTTAGCCATTACATTAGGCTTACCCTGAACTTCACCTGCATGTGGTTAAATGGTACCTTTCTGTTTTCAGAGAACATTACTGCACTATTTGCGTGTTCATACAGCTTTAGAATTAAGCACAGCAGGTCTGCTTAGCCTTTGCATCACAACAAAATGAAAAGTCCACTTGGTTTTTATAGGTTATAGCATACAGGAATGCAGAACTAAAGGGATGTCAAGATAGCAGCATGAGTCAGTATTTACAGTAACTGTATTACAAAGGAAAAAAGTTTCAAAAGACTTTTAGATGTCTGTTCACCTACCACAGCTCCCTGAAGCGCACAGAATTACCAGATTAGCCCAGTGACCACTGCCAATACTGATAACTTACACAGTCCTTTTGGAGTTAACCGATTCAAAAAAACCCAACTTTAAAAGCAGGACTATCTTAGTGATGTTCAGGGTTCCCATCTAGCATCCAGCCTTTGGCAAGGTACCTGCTTGATACTCCAAGATAAGGTGGAATTCATCTCTTTCCTGCATGGATTCAGGTGGCACAACCACATTGTCATCAAGTAGTTCATGGAGTTTAGGACCAACTGGGCCACAAAGGAGGATCTAGAAAACAAGGAAAAACAATGGTTTCCCTGGCATGTCCCTTGCCGGCATTTCAGAGCATTTAAGCATCACCTAGACAATTTATTTAAAACAAAAAATTAAATTTTTAAAAATCAGCTACGCTTTTCAACTTGCAAGGCCAATCACATGTTCCGCCATAACTTAAGAAATAACTGCATGATCCTCAAAATTGACAAGCCTCAACGACAAGCGAATAGCATGAAATTTTTGGAACGCGTACCTTCAGGTCTGGATTTGTTGCCAGCTTCTGACCAATGAGAGCAGCATTTCCTCCTACGTAAAGCTGTAAGACAAAGAGAGGCAGGTATGGGCATTCCCTTGCTGTGATAGCTGTACACATGCCCCGTCCTCAGTATAGGCTAGAGATTTTAGCTTTTTAGAAAAGGGTCTAGCATTACAGAAATTAATAAAGCTTATTGGAGGCAAAACAGTTTTACAGTTCTCTGATATCAACAAGTTAAGTGTTCTCTGACTTTTTCTTAATCCAAGTGTTTGCTGTCAGGTAACTCGCAACCCTGTACAAATCAATTAATTCATAACTTACAGACCCTACCTCTGTGCAACTTTGCTATAGCAGTTGGTAACTTGCGGTTTTTTTAGCCAGGCTGACAAGCAAGCACTTAAAAACTGCAGTAATACCTCCTCCACTTTGAAATCAAGGTTCAACCTGCTACAGGTGTCCACATGAAGTGAGCGGAACCAGGAAACTTTCTTCAGGTAAGAAAGGTCAAACTTTCAAGTAGGAAAACTCTGATGTGAGCTTTGAAACCAAAGAATATACATTTTCACGAGGATCACAGGCAGTCAGAGCTGACAGAAAAGAGTCTTGACCAATAAAAGGCATTTAGAGCTCTTCCTCATTTTCAGAAGCAGCTGGCGAACCGCATAGAAGGTGGCATTAAACAGTTTGTAGAAATTAGCTAACTGCCAAGCAAGGTACCACATTAGATTCAGAACACCCAGTATAAATCAGAGCAACAAAACTTTGCTTTTGGAAAGGGAGTCTTCAAAAAAAATTACTTATTTCTTTTCATAACCCCTACTTCTAGAGAGAATTTAAATCCTGTGCGAAGTAGCTGACACTGATCGGAGTGCTTACAGCTCCTAAGCCTTGGACCTGTTTCCTCACTTCTGCTCATTACAAGATGTTAGAGCCCCTTTCACAGCATCAGCCCCCTCTGGCTCCCACAGAGCAGTATTCTCAGAGGCATCTCAGACCGACATTTCAGTCTGGGGAAAGTAAGCAGGGGACAGACCACTTAAAACCCTACTGTGTGCAGCAGGTGCAGAGTTCCATGGAAAGTCCGTTACATGCTCAAGCTATGCCATAAGATTCCTTCCTAAACGATCTGCACTCTCACTAGAGAGAGAACGAAAGTCACCAGTGATGTAGAAAGTAAGAAACACTCTTCTCAAAGCTTATCTTCAGGTGAAAGACGTACTTGCGCACCAGGGTACTCGGAGGCTGTCCGCGCAATGTGTTGGAAAGACTCGGCGTCGCTGAAGAAGCGCTCGGCAGCTGCCCCTTTTTCCATGAAGTGAGTGAATGCTTCTTTCAGGTCCTGTCTGGAGTTCAAGACTGCATGATTTTTTCCATCCCCAGGTTCAAGACCGAGTGCTTCTAACAACTTCACACCAGACAGAACCACGTCTACGCAGGCGTTGACGCTGGATGAGAGAAGGAAAACGCATGCTGGGAAAACCACACGTACCTTAGGGCGCTTGAGAGACAATACAATGAGATCACTTCCCAGCCAGTGATGTTTGCTGCTTGCAGCCCTCATGCTAAGGGGGAAAACAACCAACCAAATGAAAAAACCACAAAGGCACATGAATTTCCTGAAATTGTCTACTGAAGTGTTCTCCTCTTGATGTGCTTTTATTGCGCTCCAGTACCATAGAGAGGGATTTCTAACATTCTGCTGGTTCTGTTTATAATGAATTGAGAGAGCAATTTGTCAGTTGAAGTATCTGAAAACTGCAATTTCAAAAGGACCATCCCAAATTTCCAGAAACAGCATGCTGCCTTCTCGCTAGCAGTGGACACGGGAGAAAAATCCTGCAGTAGTTAGGAAGTGATAAGAACCATTTCAGCAGATCTAGACTTTATGTGAAGTCTAACCTGGGGCTCAAATCTTCCAGTCCCCATTTCTTATCAATTACATCACTTTAAACACAGTCTGATTCAGACTAGAGAACAGGAAAGTTTCTGGGCCGGAACCAGGCCCCCAGGAATAAAGTTTATGAACACATGCCCTTGTTTCTACTGCTCGGTTTCAGAGAGATAGCAATATATACCAAATATTTACTGAGATGGTAACAGCAATTACTAAAGCATCTTCTGGAACTGCTGTCAAGTGCAATTTCTGTTCCTCTGCCCCGCGCCTCCCTGACAGGTATCCAAACAATCGATACGACTTCTGCGGGATCTCCAACTTGCACTGTGTCTACCCACATGACACTCCAAATGCCACTACATGCTCACATGTCAGTGTGAAAGGCACAGCCATTTAGCATCCTCCCAGTAGCTGACCCTTCATGCATGATTTGGGCCGCAACACGTGAAGGCTGCATCATACAAAATAAAGGACACAGAAAACCCCGAGGCTTTTCAGTACATGAGGTAATCAGCTCTGAAATCCTCTATTGTGCACCGTCTCGTACGCCAAGAAGAGAAAAATCCCTTCGCACAGCAGAGAAAAGAAAACCAAGGAAACAATAAGCTCAAGCACCATTTTAGCCCCAAACTCACTGCAGCAAAAGGTCAGCAATTTTACATTTTAATGAATCATTAAAGATGCAAGGGGACATAAACCAAGTCACGGTTCTTTCAAGTGCGACACCTCTCATCATCTTCCAACTGTCTGTCTTCTTTCTCCCTGCCATTCCTCTGCTAACAAACTTCATGCTTGTATTAAACTCCCTTCACAGCAGGGATATGCTACTAATGAACTGCGTTTGCTGTTGAACTCTGAGTTTGGTGTGTGTATATATTTTGTGTATATACATGTATATATTCAGTTGTCTTAAACCAAAGAAGAAAGCAAGGAACAAACTGAAGATATCTAGCTCTTTTCCAGTGAAGGTGTGGCAAAAGAGAGGGCTAAATGAGGCACTAAAAACCCTATTTTGTCATATATTCACTGGAGGAAGTCTGCATCGACCGTGATGCAACAGCAAGACGGACTCTAACTCAAACTATCAGCTACACAGTCATCTCGAGGTGGAGCAACTTCTTCCAGCACTTGAAGGCCAAATCTTCTAGTCAAAGTCAAGTTATCCTGTCACGTCCTTATATTTAAAAGAGAAAGTCAAGTGCTATATATAATGACAAGATTAATGGTCAGACTTAAGACCAGCATTTAAGATCAATGTGATATTCCTGAACTTTCCCCTCACCACCTTTCCAGTTTGAGAAGAGAAAGGGCGTTGGATTTCCCTGTGCACGCACAGGTGTCTCCAGCGTCTCTTGCCTTCTCCTCTCCCTTCCACCCTTCATCTCTCTCCTCTGCCTCTCCACCTTGGGTCGGTTAGTTCTCCCCTATCGTGAGGGCTTCGCACACTTCCCCACTTCATAAACTCGTCTCTCCTACCTGTTTACTGCCAGACCGTGCTCCCCAGTTGCCGCCCTCCTGGAGACAGGCTAGCAGCTCCAAGCCCCTCAGACACTCTCTATATAGAAATTTGTTTCACAGGCAAGCCAGCCAGGGACAACGCCTCCCAAGACTCGCTTGCCAACCGGCTCTGAACCACGCAGCACGCCTAAATCACCAATACGTGACTTTTCTGGACCATTGATCCCCTCAGCCATTTCTGGTTAAGGAACACTGCGGGCAGGGGGCCGCACTCGCCATCGACCCTCTCGGGGAAACGCCCGTGTCTGGAGAACCACAGGCCTGGAAACTGAACAGAGCAGTTTTAATGCATGGGCAGGCGCTGCGGTGAGGGCCCAGCCGTGCCAGCGCGAGGTCTCCCACCACGGCACCGTCTCGTGCTCCGTAAGGACGCGACGACGACCCTCTCCTGCCGACCGGCCGCCCGCTGCTGCGATGCCCAGGAGCTCGCCACATCACCTCAGGGAGGCTGCACCCCGCAGGGGAGGCCCAGGTATATACACCCCCCCTATATAGATAGATACATAGACAGATAGATAGATAGCCACGGAGGCCGGCGCAGGGGAAGGGGCGCGCT